CGATTCATGGAAAATTCGTATGCAACTACTCATTTTTTTCAAAATGTTATGTGTGTATAGACACATAAGGCCTTTACTGTTATAACAATGGGAACAAATTACCTGACCGTTTTCAAGAGGGGAAAACCTTGAATTTTGAAAAACTTAAAAGTAATTAAGACCCCTCAGGAGTCGGGAAAAAGCTCATTCCATCTAGGATGGACCCCCCTTTTCTTTGGAGCTTATCGATTCATTGAAAAAAGAATACGATATGCAACTACTCATTTTCTTAAGGTATACACACATAACAGACCTATTTACTGTAATGAGGAAGTTTACCTTACCGTTTTCAAGAGGGGGAAAACCTTGAATTTTGAAGAACAAAGTCATTAGACACCTAGCTCAAAAGTCGAGAAAGGTCATTTCCAGCCATCTAGAAATCTAAATTTTCCCGGGGGAGGAATGTTGACCACCACCTAGGTTTGATTCCCGATCTGCATGATTCATATTCCCATTCATCTTATAAGTGGGCCCCCCACTTTAAAAAACGTTCCGCCGGCCCTGGTTACTTACCGTCGAACTGTATCCAACGAATCCAAGGGTATCGAACGAAAACAACACATTTTTTGCTGATTCACCGGCCACTCCCAGGGAATGAAAAATTAACGATGGATCGTCCTTTGGACACCTAAATAAGAGTTGTTAAATATTTAGTTTAATTAGGCTAATTATAATGAACAAAGTAGAATAATAATAATAAAGATTAAGCGACCTTTATGTGCTAGCAAAAGAAAAATCAGTATGTAATTTTGATTTTAGACTAATAATGACATATCTAAGTCATAAAAAATACTTACCGCTGATCAATTAACTTAACATTTGGCTCTGTATCTGCTTCTTGTGTTGGTGATGCAATGCAGGAATCGATAAAAAGTGTCATCTCTGTCGAGAACGTTTCAACTTTAGCACCAACATATACCCTGGTGCCAATATCTAACGTAACTGGATAACTCCATCTCGGTATTGGTTGTGTAAAATTTTCATCCGTGTACAATTGCAGTTGAAACGTAAGATTGCCAGAACTTTCCTGGCTGGAACCTTTCACCACTTCGTGCGCAATGAAGCTTAATGATAATTCGGCGGTATTCTCGAAGCGACATCGAACGGCAATCTTCTTACTGTTTTCGCGGTAGGTGCCAGAAGCTACATCAATAGCATGTGGAATTGTCACTTCATTGTGGTAAATGGATTCCTCAGTAGACGACTAATACAGACAGAAAATTAATCTTAGTATCATTAACCATTAATTTCTCAATTTTAAATGCCTATAGCTCTGCCGATTTTATTGTCGTTACTATATCCTTCTTTTAACAGTAGTAGATGAAAGGAAAGTAGGCAAATAGAAGCGGTTGGCGCATTGGTTGTGGTTTTTACTCCCAACCTCGAGGTCGGGGTTTCGAAACTCTCGCTGTGCAAATCGCTTGTGTCCTTGGGCAAGGCACTTTATCTACGGTTGCCTCTCTCCACCCAGGAGTACAAGTGGGTACCTGGTAGGTTCCAACACAACTGTGCTGATTATTAGCCGCAATATTATGGAATAATATAATTTAATTTAATAATTTAATTTGGTGTTCAATGTGTTCCATATGTGTTTGATCCAACGACCGGGGTAGTAATGTGAAGCGCTTGAGGCTTTGTAAAGGCGTTAAGCGCTATATAAGAGCGACATATTATTATTACTAAAATATAGTAACGTTGTCTATCTACAATGAACAATGATTTGATTCTTTTTGAGCAGTCTATACTGGACTTCTATATACAGTAACGGAAAAAATGCTTACGGTAAGGTATGTACCACATCTGTCGTACTGCGTCATAAAATACATCCACAGTATACCTTTCCTGTTTACATATCCGTACGGGACACAGGATTGGTCAATTAAATGTGGCGTTGTAGAATTAGATACGGTCGACTTTTGTACATATATGGTCATGATGTTGTTACCGCATACGACATCTAAAGGATCAATGAAATCGAAAATAAAACTTACTTGCTTACATTTAAAAATTAAAACAAAAACAAATTCGTCTCGCTATTTAAAACAGACGCATATATAATATTTATAATATTTCCTGGTATACATAGCCGCAAGGATTTATCTGTACGCAGTTGGATGATCGAAAAAATAAAATTCTTTAATTTAAAATTAATTCTGTTAAAATCCTGGTCAGTTTTCTTCGGTGTGATATTCCTGAAACACATCAAAGATAGCTTAATCCAAAGACATGCAATGGGGTTTTTTTATATATATATTATTACCATTCCTCTTGGCGTCGACTTTTAAAATTGTCTGTATAATCAGTGTATTGATTTCTTTATTAAAAATTTAAATGTCTCATTAAACGTTGGTTAATAATTTGACACATGTAAATAAGAAACGAGATGTTTTATCTAGAGAATTTTACTACAATTTATATAAATAATGAAAGTTCTGTTCCATTTGTGTGTGGTTTTTTTTTTCATTTTGATTTTCCCGTCTTTATTAATTCCTTCTTTCGTTTGTTTGACCGTCCTTCATACAGTACTCTCATTTGTCCTTCCATTCAATTCAAATGCATTTCTGGAAACGTAACTACAATAAGAAACATGATAGATGTTTAAAAAACCGTGGCAAGTGGTTAAATTTTTTAATGGGCGGTTTAAGGTGATAACACGTGTAAATTTTTCATTTTTTGTGCAATTATTTAACGTTTTTTTTTGTATTAAGTCTTGTTTTATATTGTGTTTGTATTATATTGCATTGTAAGTATGTTACTCTTACGAACTCACAGCAAGAGCGTGTGCCGCTGTTTTAAAAGCGTCGTTTCAAATAAAGTTATCAGGCGCGTCGGAAGCAATTTTTATTGGTCCGGCCAAAACGACGATCCCCATCCCACCCTTCACCTTAGATTGCCCATGGTGGAGGGTGTGTTGTTGGGGGGTCCCGATGGAAAACCCTTTTTTTTAATAAACCATGTCCTTACAGGGCATTGTATTCTTGTTGGTATTACGCAAGAAACTTTACATTTACAGAGAAGATTTCTACCGACCTAGGTAAAGGGCCCAGACAAACTCTTAGGTTTTAACAAATCACGCAGAAAAATAGATTATTTCAAGGTTTCTTGAAGTTTGAAGTTTTGCAGTCTCTCCGGAGACTTCCATATCACTGACAAATGTAATTTAAATTTTATTATGGCCTGTAATTAGACCTACACGATTTATGCAATTCAATATTTAAACAATGTCTGTTTATATACACGAGTTGCCGGATATAATATATATTGTATGCAATGAAATAAACTAAATATATTTTCGGATTGCACAAGGTACGGTATAATATATTATCTTTTACAATCATTATAGATGTACAGTATCATTAAGAATTTTATCAAGTTGCCTAAAAATATACTATGTTCAGTGGCGGATCTAGGACTTAGCAATGGGGTGGGAGTGAATAATGCGATTTGCGAAGCACCAAGCGTGCGCCCTGTCTCTTATACACATCTAGATGTGTAGCAGGGCAAGGACACAGGGCACAGCTCCCTTTGGCAAGGGCACAGATCTGTTTCGAAAGGTAAGGGGGACATTTCGTGAGTCCACACCCTCCATGTTGTACAGCACCCTTTCGTTAAAACCTGGGTCATTTATGCAGTTCTGAGTTCATTTCAACAATTTTCAGGCATCTTCTTGACTTACGACGTTATTACATTGCGAGCGAAAAGTGAGGAGACCAAACTCCCACCCCTTAAAATAATTGGGGACGTGTTCCACTGTCCCCCATTGATCATGGGTTTTTGGGAGGGCCGCCCCTTTCAATTGAGATTTGTTTAGAATTAGTAGACGGCTAGAGGCTCTTGGATGACATCTGAAAAGAAGGTGAGCTTAACATAGAAAGTGTATCATTTACGAGAGTAGCCATACTACACGTAACATGTATACATGAGAAGCACAGAATCAAGACTAGTGACCATTTTTTTCCCACAGTCACCGAAAGGGGTGGCTAGCCACCTTATTCATCCCACCCCTATATCCGCCACTGTATGTTTGTGGTAGGTCTTTACTGAATTATTTCTTAGCAGTTTTAAATATTCAGTTAATTCTTGCTTTATTAAAGATGCAGTCAAATAACGTACCAGATGATAAACTTATATTAAAAGCAGTCGTTTTAACATACATTAATGTTTAATTGTTTAGTTTCGATTTTTATTTATTTCACAAAGTCACATAGTTAACTACAGTAAAAATGAAATAATTTCAATTTTTTTCCATATTTTCACTAGGCTGAATGTGCAAGTTATGTTTTATTTTTATTTTTTTATTTTTTTTTTACGTTGTAGTTGATAACTTATTTGATCCGTATACATGACATATGGAACATTTGGATAGAATTTTTACTAATAAGCATAACACTCCATTATACTTGTCCAAAGTTGTAATCTGTATTATTTGGTTTGTTTTTGTTGTGAGACTGTACTATTGTGATGCATGGGGTTCCTGAATAATGACCAATTTTATGTCGACCATTTTTTTCCTAAATTATTGAGGGTTGGCTTGCGCTTCATAACCACAAGGGAAAGGCTCAATATAAATACCCAGTACCAGTACTTCATTATTTATATTACATCCATTCAGGTAACCCCCACCCCTATAATTGAGAAAGCTTCAGGGGTGGCGCCAGCGGGGGGACCGGGGTCACTCCCCTCCCATCCCCACCCCCGTCGGGGAGACAAACCACAATTTGAGGGGGAGAAAACAAATTATATGTATTTTCTACATATTAATAGGCTCTAAAATCTATTAAATAAGCCTTTGAAGTCCCTAAATTGTCAACATTTTTGGGGCTTTTCGCACCCTGGACCGCTTTCGAGGCATTTTAAGCGATGCTCGACCACGCCCACATTTGCTATCGTGATGGAAATCTGACCCCTCGTTATTACATATAGATGAGGTTGACTGGTTTAAATAGTTGTTGCTTGAAGTCTGGTCATTCAATTTTGTAAAAAGAGAAGAGGTTGCGTCAGAGAAAGTACAATTTTGCTTACAAACGATATTGAGTTGTAAATTATTGGTCCGGCCAAAACCGGACCAGCCGGACCGCTTCCGACGCCCTTGAGTTATAGTACATCGTGTAGCATAGCTCTCAACTAATGTTTTCCTATAAATAAATAAATAAATTGTGTAATAAAATACCTTTGAGAGGATTGGAACCTGTGACCTCTCACTGTCAAGGCAGGCATCATAACTTCATGGTTGAACAGATTCAAATAACACGGTATTTACCGTTCTTCGATAATTTATGTATAATTTTACAGCGTTAACGGCTATCTTGATTTATATTATATGCTACTATTTATTTACAGCTGTACCTCCAGATTTATCCGGTTTAACCCCCATTGTATAATGGAGTGTACATAACTCATATTAGAATCTGTTCAACCATGAAACCTCTGTGGTATAATGGTTATGACGCTCGCATTAGCAGCGAGATGTTGCAGGTTTGAATCCCGTCTGAGGCATTTTATTACACAATGTATTTATATATGTACAGGACAGGAATCGTTAAGAGCTATGCTACACGACGTACCATCGTGTCCTTTATCCGAACACTGTATTTACCTTTCTTTAATAATCTATAAATAGTTTAACAGTATTAAAGGCTATCTTGATTTACATGTATACATATCTCTTTAGAAGATGATTATTATTTTACTTTTTTGAAATGAGAAATTCAATCATAGTATTTTATTTTACCAAGGATTCTCAAGATAACATTTTACGGTATATTTTTGTTGTGATAACACACTTTCATCATCTGGTAATGCTAAAAATGAACAATAAAGTTTCATCTCAATAATGGATTTAAATCCGCATTCTGGGATTTAGTTTCGCATTCTCATTTGTCGCACCCCCCTCCCCCAGCCCGAAACCAGCCTACGCTTCCGTTAAACTTACCTCGCCGAACGGACTGATTAACGTTAATTTACTGTACTAGTAAGAGATGGCATATAAGTAAGTGATTAGCGGATCATCAAAATATTAACTGTCTTCATATCTAGTAAACTGTGTGACTTGAATAAAAGCACGCAACTCGCTAACCATTATTACATCACAGATAGGCCTAGGTCTAGTAGGTATGTAATTAATATACCACAAGTTACCATCTTACCATTTTAAACTGTGCTTTCTTCATTTATCTCTACCTGTACGCAAAAGATGTTTAGTTTAATAATTATTATATTTAAAAAAAATCCTACACGAAATAATAGATTAGAGGAATGAGACAAAATGTCGAATACAGGCCTACCTATATTTGGGTCTTTCTCCGTCGAGTAATGTTCCGTTGTGCCATCAGCCTGAGTTGTTTGAAGTAAATCTGTTGAATCTGTTGTTGTTTTCATGTGAGACGTTGTTGAATCATGTGTTGTGATGTATTTCTCCGTCGAGTAACGTTGTTCCGTTGTGACATCAGCCTGAGTTGCAGGAAGCGATTCTGTTGTTGAATCTGTTGTTGTTCTCATGTGAGACGTTGTTGAATCATGTGTTGTGATGTCTTTCTCCGTCGAGTAACGTTGTTCCGTTGTGACATCAGCCTGAGTTGTAGGAAGCGATTCTGTTGTTGAGTCTGTTGTTGTTCTCATGTGAGACGTTGTTGAATCATGTGTTGTGATGTATTTCTCCGTCGAGTAACGCTGTTCCGTTGTGAGATCAGCCTGAGTTGTAGGAAGCGATTCTGTTGTTGAATCTGTTGTTGTTCTCACGTGAGACGTTGTTGAATCATATGTTGTGATGTCTTTCTCCGTCGAGTAACGTTGTTCCGTTGTGACATCAGCCTGAGTTGTAGGAAGCGATTCTGTTGTTGAGTCTGTTGTTGTTCTCATGTGAGACGTTGTTGAATCATATGTTATGTCTTT